GGCCATTCCATTTTTGACCATTTGATTTAAGGCTTTCTGGGTCCGAAAGGATAGCCTTGATCGTCTCCTCCATATCACGGAGCCGGGTTTCAATGTTACTATCTGCGTCAAGATATTTTTGACGCAGAAGCACCATCTCAGAAACTTCCGACCGCGACTTCGCTGTGAAGGTTTTCTTCGGCATCTCTACAGCAGAACTGATCGGCAGCAGAGTTCCCGGCAATGTCTGTTCGACGTTTACATCGCCAACATTTTCTGAACCGAACCCAGCTCCACTTGCCGATGGACACCCTAAAGGGGGAAACGTAGAGCATTTGAAAGGTGCAGGTGGCGGAGATGTCCTCATGTTTTTAGGTGGTGGTGACCTCTTAAGCTTGGAGCTTCAGACAAAAGGGTTCTGCTCCACTTCAAACGAATTTACTTGCTCATTTGAGCTCCTCTTCAATGATGTGTTTGGATTATTTTTATTAAAACTCATCGTGTTTTCTCCAGCGCATCGTGTGGCAAGGAGCAAGGAGCGGCCCGGAATCAGTCAGGAACGGGTATACCCTCGGGGGCAAAAACCCCTACCGCAGTTCCCCGGGGCCCGACCTCCGTTTGCCCAGCACCGGAAACCTTGTCCAGCCGGGGGTCGCCCGTCACAATGCAGAGCCCGACCTCTACACCCATACCGCACTCCCTGACCAAGGATCGAAGTGGATGGTTTCTCACGACCCACTGAGAATACCCATCGGCAGTGCAAAGCACACATCAACCCCTGCAACACAACAGGGGCACTCCCAGGGACTCCCAGTGAGCTCGTCTGTCACCCTTTTAGTCGCCTCTTACGACAAGCCCAAGAAAGCTGCGGTGCTATTCTTACCCGGTACGGCACGGGGGATAAAGTAGTCATTAAGGACATCAGACCCAATAGAGGAAGCCTTTCTGAACACACTTTGTTTTTCTTTATAAGATCTCATGCTGCTTTACACTGGTTGTTGCTACTTTCTATGAGGTACACATTATACATTAGTTTGGCTTCTTTTTTTGATATTTTATATTGAAATTTTAATCTTTCATATTCATCAGCAATTGCAAAGAAGTAAAGTAGTTATTTAAAAACAAATAACTTATTTAAAAAGTAATAAGAGTCATAATTATTTCCGATGAGTTTAAAAGACTTAACTCATAGATTACGTAGCTAACAGTTCCATATGATCAATATTTCTTATAAATATTTTATCATTTTTCAAAAGCTGATATGGTTCTTTAGTGTATTCTACAAATATTTCCCACTTATAGCCACATTAGGTCGTCCATGTTGATCTTCGTCAATGATAATGTAGTCTGCATGGTACTACCCATTGGCAACACTACGTTTACAAATTTCAGTAATCAAGAATCAAGAATCTTTATTGCCTTTGATCCATACAGACATTGGCATAGTCAATAAATTAAATAAATAAATACATTACATTCTAACAATAATTACAAATGTTAAATTAACAGTAACGGTACATAGAGGTGGTGAACAATAATAACAATAACAGTCAATAACATGAATTAAATCTTAAAATCAATAGTAACAGGACATGATAAAAAATCTTCTATTTTATGAAAAGGATTGGCAATAAGCCACTCAGATATTTTAATTTTAAATCGTTTCATAGTCACAAATCGGGCAGTGTCAGGCAGTTTATTGAAAAATCTCACGTAGTTAATTTTAAAGCAGTTTCCTGTTTTTGCTAAGCGGTGCTGGGGAAGGTCAAATTTGTTTTTTCCTCTTGTGTTGTGGCTATGGAATGTTTTTCTATTATTGAAATCTGTAATATGTAGTTTGGTATAAATGAGAACGTGGTAAATGTAAACAGTCATTACTTTGAGTTTTATAAAAAGTGGTTTGCAATGTTCAGTGTCACTTGTTCTAAAAATTGTTCTAATAATATTTTTCTGTGTTGTAAGTATGTCATACACAAAACCTGAATGACCCCAAAGAGTAATGCCATACAAAAGATGGGACTGACAAAAAGCATAGTAAGCCACCCTTAGATATTCAAAACTCACAAAATCCCTAAGCTTCCACATGAGATAAGAAACTCTTGAAATTTTTCTGTTCACATACTCAACATGAGACTTCCAATTCAATTTGTAATCTTTTTATAATGTTTTTATAGCGATAACATTTTGTTTACATTACTTAAGAACTGCCTGATTTTCTGTGTCATACTACGCAATAATCCTTTCAAACATACTAATAAGGAATATACCGTAAAAGTTGCCTTTACCATGACTTTGAATAAAGCACATGGGCAGAAGATAACAAAAGAAGGAGTGTGTGTGCCAGATCCCGTTTTTTTACAAATTCAATTTTTTGTGGTTTTGTTAGGGTGCACTTTTCAGTGAAAAATATATTTGTGTAAAAACAAAGCCATCAACACAAAAAAATCTATATGGCCATAATATTAATTCAAACATAGTGTTCGAAGAGGTCCTGTAAACATGTAAAAACGTAAATAGCTTAATATTATATTTCGAAAAGGTTGATTATCTAAAATGTAAATCCACATCTATTTCTGAAATCAACGATACACTTACTACGCAGTATTAACTGTATGGTGTGTGTGTACTGTGTACTTCAATAAGTGGGATTTGAGGAGGATTCAGTGCGAGTGCTTCACACGGGTCGGCTAGTTCAAATACATTAATATGTTATATTAATTGTGGATATTTATAGGCATGCACTGTGGATGTGATACTCCCTGGTGTGGATTAACGTCCGCACTAGTGAGTACTACGACTATCCGCAGTACTATCCCGATAATTAGACCAATTCATTAATACCAAGGCAAAAATGTGGTTCGGATTCCACTATAAACCGTAGGTCTCTTAGTTGCCATTAGCTGTATGGGCTATTAAGTAACAGCTGTACCTTAGTCACTGACAAGACTACAATATCGCGCCACTTATCCTACACTCATCTCCATTCATACTTGGCTTAAAATACCTGCTTTGTATGGTCGCCATTTATTGGTTTCGATTTGCTTTCAAAACGTGATTGGGAATGGTTGCGGTATTTGTAAACATACATTTAATGTAAACATATCAGTGACAGCTAGAAAAAATAATCTTGATCCAAACAGCTGTTCGTTATTTCATTTCATAGATGAGGTATGTGATAAACATTGGGAGAAAACTTGACAAAAATCCCACAAAATTGGGTTTTTGAACGTCCGTCATTTTATTTACAAAGTAGTGAGGCCATATTTTAATGGCATAGGTTCTCTCGTTTTTCAGGAGAAGGCCGCATAAATTGCCTTCTGGGCATCGCCTTCAACCTTTGATAATTTTGGGTTGATGAATAATCCAAAATTATTGACTTTAATAGGGGACTAGAGGTAGAAAACAAGTTTTTTCAAAAAATGTTTTAGACAAAAGTTATGTATTTTTAAACATAGAATCCGATTCTGTAATAAAAATTGGTAGTTTATATTCAAAAAGTCAACTTTCGGTCTGAAAAAGCCACTTCCGGTGTGATTTTGGATTTGAAAATATCACCATTTGGTAGACCGTGCCCAATTTATCTAGTTCTGTATTATTTATTGTTTGTAAGAAAAGGTTTCCCTCATTTTTAAAGGGGTGTACGGGTGGTTTTGGACACCCGGTATATATATACAGGGTTAGTAAAAAGTGTGGAGACCCCCTGTTATTTTTTTAACGGCCCATACTAGAAAAACTAAACTCGGCACACCATTATGGCATGTTATGAAGTACTTTTTGGGCATAACCGCCACTTGGTGTTCATCCCCAAAATGGGGGATTTTGGGGGAAACTAAAAGATTTCAAATACAAAGACCCATCGAGTGACCCCTCATTTTGAAGGTCCTGGTAAAACAAAACCAACAACGCAAACTAGAGGTCTCTATCTCAGTTCAGTACAAAATGGCAGCCGATTGAAATTCTCATAAGTTCCCAAACCCAAAATGGGGGATTTTGGGGGAAACTCAAAATTCTTTAATGATAAGCCCCATTGAGTGACCCCTCATTTTGAAGGTCATAATAAAAGAAAACTAACAACGCAAACTATAGGTCTCTATCTTAACACAGTAAAATATGGCAGCCAATTCAATATAAAATTGCAAGTTATTTCCGATTTTAAAGATTTCAATCACCGTCCATTTTTTATTGGATTGAGATAGAAACCTCTAGTTTGCGTTTTTAGTTTTCTTTTACCAGAACCTTCAAAATGAAGGGTCACTTGATGGGGCTTAATATTAAAAACTTTTGAGTTTCCCCCAAAATCCCTCATTTTGGGTTTGGTAAGCAAGTGGCTATTAGGCTTAAAAAGTACTTCATAACATGCCAAAAAGGTATGTAGAGTTTAGTTTTCCTAGTGTGAGCCGCTACAAAATTTACAGGGGGTCTCCAGACTTGGAATGCTGCAAGTTAAATTCAACTTCTGAGAATTTCAATTGGCTGCCATTTTTTACTGGATTCAGATAAAGACCTCTAGTTTGCGTTGTTGGTTTTGTTTTACCAGGACCTTCAAAATGAGGGGTCACTCGATAGGTCTTTGTATTTGAAATTTTTGAGTTTCCCTCAAAATCCCCCATTTTGGGGATGTACACCAAGTGACGGTTATGCCCAAAAAGTACTTCATAACATGCCATAAAGGTGTGCCGAATTTAATTTTTCTAGTATGGGCCGTTAAAAAAATAACAGGGGGTCTCCACACTTTTTACTAACCCTGTATATATACCGGTCCGGTACATATATAAAAATTTGAACGAATGGTGTTTTTGGCCGCTGGGACATTAAAATGAAAAAGTAAATCGGTCCCGGGCCTAGGTCTTACCGTGCCAACTACGGTAATAGCTACTTCCCTAGGGAAATTCGCTATAACTCTAATTTTGTTTATATAGATAATTCTCTAAGGTAAAAAAGAAATAAGAAAATAAAAACTAAAGTAATAAAGCAACAATAGTAGGCACAAATTTATTGTTGTTAACGTTCTTGGTACTTACATTAAATTCAAGGTCTTTAGCTTCTGAACCACTCTTGGGCATTATAAAACTTGTTAGTTCCTGCAAATAAAAGAGGTTTTAATGAGAAGTGGAAGTTAGTTGATACTTTGACTTTAAACCTAAGGGCCCTTTTACACAAGGCCACTGGTGGCTGCTAGTAGTAGGTGGCTAATACCACAGAAAACATACTACTATAACCCAGAATGCCAACCGCATGGTAAAAAGCATTAAGTGTTTTGAGAGAGCTTTGCCTGTCAATCGTAGGCAGCGCCACCAGCGTTGCTATGCTGAGTGCATGCAACTATAATGATGAGAAACCTTGCGCAAAACTATCCATTATTTCATAAATTGCCCTATAAGGTCGTAATTCCTTTCTAAATGGAACTTTCCATATACCTAATGTTAAAAATACCTCAGCTGTACTTATTTGTTTATTTCAGCTAAACTTAACCAATCAAAAGTTTTATTAATACTTATGAAGTCAAACGGGGTGACCCCAAGGGTTACAGCTAGTTTATAGTAATAATTTATTTGTAAAAACATTTAACGATACTTTTCGTTGCAGATAAATGCTGTAAACTAAGTAGTTCCATCTAAAGGTCCTAATAAAATTGGTTTAGGCCTAGGTGATTAACAGAGTTAATTTAGAAAGTACGCATATTATGTTAAATATAATATAAAAATAAAATGTTTGTTTAAGCCTGCCTTTATTAGAAAAAGAACAGCTGTAATGAAATTAACACAACAATTAAATGGTGTAAATAAATACTTTTAGTGGAATGTGTTTGAGAATCTTGTTGTTGGTTTTGTGAATAATAATTTTGTTTAATGTAAAAAGTGAGTATTTATTTAAATATAAAAAAAAAAGTAAGAAAACTTTTCAGGTTATGGGCCCAGGGCTGCTCATGCCATAAAACTAAAAATTAACAATCAGGGCTGCTAATGCCATAAAATAAAACCAAGTAAGAACAGGGCTATTAGTGCCATAAAACTAAAACTAGAAGAACAAAGTTTGAAGTTGTCTCTTAACGTGAGTATATCAACATTTTATTGATAATAATGACTAGTGAAAATGATTATAACACTATTCAAAGACTTAAAAACGTGGAAACATTTGCTATGTGGGAATTTGAGATTAGTGTGTTGTTCAAAGCACGAGAACTGATAGATGTAGTAAACGGAACAGAAACCTTAGATGAACAAGGTGATGATGCATCAAAAATAAAAAAGTGGAAGGTAAAGGATGCCAAGGCTCAACATTATATATTGCTAACAATTGATAACCAAATTAAACCTCATATTTTAACTTGTAAAAACGCCCATGAAATGTTTCAAACACTAAAAAGACTTTTTCAAAAAGATACTGAAACCCAAAAGTGTGCATTACTTCAGGACTTTTACAACTTCAAGTACAATAGAGAAATTGATATGATGAGTAACCTTTGCCTAATACAGAACCTAACTTATAAACTAAACCAACTCGACCAGAAAATAGATGACACAATGGTGATAACGAAGATCCTGACGATACTACCAGAAAGCTTCAGACATTTCAACAGTGCCTGGGACTCGACATCAGCTACGGAAAGGACACTCGAAAATCTGAAAGCTCGACTCGTTCAAGAGGAAAGTAAGATGAAATCTATGGACAGCAGTAGTGGTAATGAAAGCACAGTTTTTAAGGCTAGCTCTACTCAATATGAACAAGGTATGACTAAATTTAATAAGCCTAATAATGTAAAATGTTTCACTTGTCAAAAGATAGGTCACATTCAAAAGAATTGTCCTAGTAAAAAGTTTTGCTCTTTTTGTAAAAAGAATAACCATTATGAGTCAAACTGTTATCTTAAAAATAAAGTTAAGGAAAATAGGCCAATGATGTGTACTATTTGTAAGAAAAGTAACCATGATACTAAGAATTGTTTTTTTAGAGATAGGTCTAGTAAAAATAACAATAACAAAGATCCTAAAAACACCCATAAAACTGTTTTCCTGACCAAGGTTAAGGAGGAACAGGTAGGCCTAATCCTTGAAACAAGTATGCCTAAGCATATAAATGAAGTAAAAGAAGTTAACAAGGCTTTTGTTGTTGACAGTGGTTGCACCCCAAACCATATGACCAACTGCAGTAATATTTTAAGTAACTTAAAAGAGTTTAAACAGGAAATATCAGTCGCTAAGAAAAACCAGTTAATGTTTTCTCTAGGTATTGGTAGCATTGAAACAGACAAATGTATTTTAAATAATGTCTCTTACGTACCAGAACTTAAAAATAATTTAATGTCTGTAAATGCCATTACGGAAAAAGGTGGCACAGTTGTGTTCACTAAAAATAAAGTAAAAGTCATTCAAAATGATGAAATGATACTTGAAGGTAATAAAAATAGTCAGGGATTGTATGTAGTCAATTTAAGAAGCAGCATTTGTAGTGAGAATAGTCTCTCTAATGGTAATACCAGCGTCACAATTGAGTCAGGTGAGGTGGTAAATAACAACAGTCAACAAGAAGACAATAGTGAAAACAATGAAGTCTGTAAAGGAAATGATGACCGTGATAAAAACGAACCTAAAAATCAAGAAAATTCTAGGGAATTAATGAAAATATGGCATAAAAAGTTAGGACACCTAAATAATGAGAGCATGAAGAAATTAACTAAACCTAAAACCAATGATCGACAAGACGTTAAAAAAGAAGCTGTACTAGATGAAAGTGAAGAACTAGAAGAAGAAGACACTATACCTGAACACGAAGAAGAACATGAACAGGAACCAGAAGACCTATATCAAGAAGAAAATGATACTGATGAAGAAGAACCTGAAATAAGAAACCAAAGATATAATCTTCGACAAAGAAACAACATAAAAAGACCTGTCAGATATGAAGACTACGATCTTAACGCACTTTTGACGTACAATGAATGTATCAATGGAGATGAAAAAGAGAAATGGAAAATTGCAATAAATAATGAAAAAGAATCTCTGAAGAAAAATGAAACTTGGGAAATTGTTGACAGAAAAGAAACTTTAGGAAAGCAAATTTTAACAACTCAATGGATTTTCAAAGTCAAAGATGATGGAACCTATAAGGCGAGACTTGTTGTTAAAGGATGTCAGCAAAAAGAGAAAATAGATTTCAAAGATACATTTAGTCCTGTAGTGGACAGTACTTCGCTAAGATTACTTCTTGCTATAGCAGCACAAGAAAACATGCATATACAAACATTTGACATAAAAACAGCATTTCTATATGGTCTAATGGAAGAAGACGTGTATATGTTGATACCAGAAGGTTTTGAAGAACAAGGTCAAGTCTGTAAACTAAATAAATCATTGTATGGTTTAAAACAGGCCCCATGCTTGTGGAACAAGAAATTTACTTCATTTCTTAAAAGTCAAGGATTGACACAACTGAAGTCAGATCAGTGTATTTTTAAGAATCCCGATAACGATCTCTACTTAGCTATCCATGTAGATGATGGCATTTTGATTGGTAAAAATGAAGGAAAAATTGCAAACCTACTAAAACAACTTGAAGATGAATTTGAGATGACGATAAGTCCAAATCCAACAGTTTATATAGGGATGGAGATCAAACGTAACAGGGACGGAATTTTAATCAGTCAAGAAAAGTATGCAAAACAAATTCTTGAAAGATTCAATATGAAGAACTGCAAAGAAGTAAAGACACCAATTAACCTGAAAGATACAACTGAAACTCCAGATGAAAATACTACTAAAGGAGCTTTTCCTTACAGAGAAGCAGTAGGAAGTCTGCTTTACCTCACTAACAAAACCAGACCTGATATGAGTTTTTCAGTCAGTTATGAAAGTAGACACTTGGAAAATCCTGACAAAAATGACATCCAAAATGTAAAGAGAACCCTTAGATATCTAAAAGGAACACAAACCCATGGAATAAAATTCTCTTCAATTAAACGTGACAAAATTGAGCTGAACGCTTATTGTGATTCTGATTTTGCAGGAGACACTCAAGACAGAAAAAGTACAAGTGGTTATGTAATAATGTTCGCAGGTGGACCTGTGACTTGGAGCTCAAGAAAACAGCCCATTGTAGCACTTTCAACAGCTGAAGCAGAATATATTTCCGCTGCTGAATGCTGCAAGGAACTAAAATATTTGAAAACTCTAATTAGTGAACTTACTAACAAGCCAGTGAAAATAACACTCAACATAGACAATCAAAGCGCAATGAAAATGATTCAATCCGGCCAAATGAACCGCAGAAGCAAACATATTGATGTACGCTATTACTTCATAAGTGAACAATTTCATGAAGGCCTGTTTGCACTCCAATACTGTAGGTCTGATGAACAGTTGGGTGACATTTTCACAAAATCTCTTACTTACCCTAAATTTCAAAAGTTCAAAGAAATCCTCATTAAAAGCTTTGTCTAATTTTGAGTTGAAACTTAGAAATAAGATGATGAGGTAAACAATGTACTGTAAATATAATGTAAATATTATTCATTAAATTAAATGGACAATAAATAGACAATCTAATAAAATCAGTGTATTTTCAAATGTTAAAACTGTTTTTCAACTTTGTAAAACACAAACAATATTATTAACTAAGCTAGCAGTATGGGTTTACAAGAATCTAGCGTTGAGAAATATATAAAACATTTTATTCTTAAGGGGGAGTGTTAAATATAATATAAAAATAAAATGTTTGTTTAAGCCTGCCTTTATTAGAAAAAGAACAGCTGTAATGAAATTAACACAACAATTAAATGGTGTAAATAAATACTTTTAGTGGAATGTGTTTGAGAATCTTGTTGTTGGTTTTGTGAATAATAATTTTGTTTAATGTAAAAAGTGAGTATTTATTTAAATATAAAAAAGTAAGAAAACTTTTCATATTATTGTTGGTTTTTTTAATATTTTAGGTTAGGTCTACTTTTGATTTAATACAATCATATGTTTAATAAAATGTAAAATAAATACATTATTTTGAATAAAAAAGTTTTACATTCCACGAACAACCGATTTGTTACTATTTTAAAAGTTCCTAATCAAACCATAGATTAATTATTTATGAT